AAAGTCATAATTGTCCGTCTTAACATCCTCGTTGGCGTAACGGAGATGACGTGGGCTATGTACTTCCTCAGCCATGGAGAGGCATTTTCGAGTTTCCCAAGGTGGGAAGTCGATGGGACAGGTGTCGATTGAGAGGATTCAGAGATTGACTCGTCGCTGGCAAATACTGTATTGAAAAGGTTATCCAGAAGTTCAACAGCCGTAAGGCATGCCTGAAGCCCTGAATCCGGGTTTTTCGGTGCGTGGAAGTTTGAGTCATACTGGCCAATCCAGACTGCCTGAGCGTGCGCAGTGAGCTTTTCCATGGCAGCCCCGTATGTCGCAGATACAATTGGTAGAAGCAGCTTCTTCGTCCCTTCTGATGGGCCATCTTCAGGATTGAGTAGATTATCGCCCAGCTGGGGGGTTGTGTGAAAAGTAGTATCGTCATTTGCAACTGAATGTGGGCTCGGCAGATCATTTTCCAACTCGTTGTTTCCACTGTTTAGCAGCCCAACGTAGGCTACATACGCGGCCCGAATGGAGGTTATCCACTGTGATTGCAACGGCAGCATCTCGTTGGATAATGTGATCCCACAGCGGACAGCTTTCTTTGTTAACATAACCCGAACGCAGTGGCCAGATAACGAATATAGCACCATCAACGCAGCATTGGCCAGAACTGTATCAAAGTGACCGCCATAAAGAGCTCCCTGCATCTGGTGAAGTGAAGACCTATGGTGTTCGTCTGCTAGAGCGAGAAGCCTTTTCATATCGTCTATTCTCTCGAAAGGAGCTGATGAACCCCTCAAAATGTCGTAACACTTGCAAACTGCCGAGAGTGCAAGTACTGAGCCCATGACTGGTCTGCTGCCGAACGCGAGATTCGGCATTCCAACGTGGAGAGCGTATAATTCTTCTGCATTGAAGGGGATGACGCGGCTGGTATGTGATATATAGTGACTCAACAGCTCCAAGTCCTCAGAATTCAAAGCATGATATGGCTGGAGCACCTGCGGCACCCCAAGGCCATCATACGGTAGTGTGCGAGCGATGCCTGAATCGCCAGAACAAGTGTCATCGGAATTTACTTCGGAGCTGCTTGGGCTGGGCTCGGCGAGATTTAAATATCCCAAGTCCGGGATTTCAGGGATTGGAGAGATTGGAGAGTCTTGTTCAGGGCTGAGAGCAGTCGAGTCTGTAGGGAAGCGTTCGTTTTGGGTAGTGTAACGGCAACAGTGATTCCGCTTCTGGCAGCGAGAACAGACGGGACGAACTTCATCGCACTGATTGCGCTGTTAGCAAACATCTCCAGCTTCTCAATATTGAATCAAAACTTTAAACGCACCTTTTTTCTCTGCTGTTTGCATCTTATACAGCCCTTTCTAGATTTTTCATGCGACCGACGCTGTTTAAACTCCTTTGCAGTGTGAATGAGAATTGTGGACATTTTGGCTGAATTGTCTTTTAAGCTTGTTGCTATGGAACTCTTCGTGCAAGATTCATGAGAGACCACTTTATTTAAATATTTAACGGTAATCCGGAGACATAGTTACGCTAAGTATGCGACGGCGCTTGCAGCAAGAAAGTAACACACCATCCCTTTTTCGGGCTGTATTTGGAATTCGGTATGTGTCAGAAACTTAAGGCAGAAATGGAAGGTTTCTTGTTTATTCCCGCGCATTTCTCTTTTCGAGTCTGCTGATAAGTGCCGAGACGATAGTATGTCATAATCTCACCCATGCATTCAGCGTTAGCATGAATCCTATACTTCGTTTCAAGGCTCCCAATTCAGATTATTTGTCAAGCTGGTGACGCAGCAAATAGTGAAGGCCCAGGGCTGTGCATTCTAGCCTGGTTTCTAGTGGGATTAGCGGTGAGTTCGCGTTTACGAATCCCGTTGCAAATGCGAACCCCGTCACGAAAATCGCGGCCTTGCCCTGCCGCGGCGAACCATAGTCACCCTGATCAAGTGAATGATCATATATCGCCGACTGTAGCGGGCCCCCTTTTTCGAAGTTGTGAGCCTGGAAAGTTTAGGCTAACAGTTAAGGCCTGTAACTTCAACTGCTTAATAGTGGAGAGAGTTACGTGTTCGATCTTAATAATAAACATACAACTAGTCTGTTGTACATAAGAAACTCCGCAAACTTGATTGGCCGGAGTTAGTATAAGAGAGCGAGCCGATATGAGAGCAGCCTGTAAGCGTCTAGAAAGGCGAGTCATCAAGAATGCGGTCTAGGAGAGCTTCTAAAAAGTGCACTAGTTGTTACCAATTCAACTTTCAGGAACAGATCTACGATATGAGTAACTTTGATTCCGGCAAGAAGTACCCCGTTGTAAGGAGAAAAGCAACTTGTCGAAGTACACAAGCCACCAAGCACTTCAATGAAGAGAAGAAGGTTGATTCTATTGTTCAACTATCGCACGCGTATCCCGGGTCGAGAAGGATCCCGAAGGATGCCGGACTGATCCCCTGCCAACTGGACACTAGGTTGGGTACTGTACACGTAGACCTTCCTATGTTCTCCGTATTTCTGACCCAATCATTAACCTTCCTTTATGGTGTTTAATAATTAGTTTCAATCAACTATCTCGCATTCCTTGTATCAAGACAAACTTGCATTCTGCGGCTAGTTAGAGGAGCATGTAAACCAAGACAAGGATCACGTATGACCAATTGAAGCTATATCTGATGGAGGAACATGTGGAAACTATGATAACAAACTCCTTGTATGTCTATTCCGCTTTTTACAACCAATTTCAATATAGCGCATCACTGAAACACCACATATAACTGTTTTGAATTACTGAAGTTTGTCGGTCCTTCAGACGTTGTATTGTGTGTGGGGAGTTTTGGTTCTGACAGAGGGGAAGAGATTGCGGCACTAAAGCGCGCGAATCGCAGCCCCTGTCCCTTTCCCGAAATCCTTCTCAACTAAGTGCCTAGTGGTTCCCGCATTCTAGGCATCTTTCTAGAATCTTGTAAATCATCATGAAGCTCTGGCTCGAGCATCTTCACCAACAGGATAAGGTACCTCAAGTCGTTCATAGCATACCAGTAGGACTGATCTTTAAGCAGATCATCATCCATACGATGTTTAATATGTGGATAACAATGTGGATCATCGGAGAATATGGAACATTATGGTTCTTTGAACTAGGCAAAATTAGTAGTGCATCGTTCATGCATCCGAGTGAAAGTGTCAACACCGATTTTTTCTCAGCATTTTGCTAAAGTTTAGCTAACATACTTGGGCATTGAAACCATATTGAAATATAAAATACTCGAGATTTCCCCTAGGCTATGGAATGAGAATTGATATCAGCCCAGTTTCCTCGCATGTAACAGCGGCTAATATGACAATGACAGCTCAGGCTCGATCATGTCCTGCCGCAGCTCTCGATAATCCGTGTGGTAAAGCCGAAAGTTTCAACAAGGTATAATGCAGCTAATCTGGGGATAAGGCAGGGCGGTATTAGTTAATCTTGAGGAACCGATCAGTCGGTATGAAGATCTAAGCTAGTTATTGTCCCATATCTAGTTAATCCTATCAGTCCAATGAGCGGTCACACTCAAGCTTTACCGACTGAATCCTCCAGCTTCCATGGCACTAATGGCATAACTATAATGGGGCGAGACTATGATAAGACCGACGGAGTGACATCTTCGAGATCACTCTAACAGTACAAGCGTCGGTGTAGTATTGTACCATCATGAATGTCGAAGATAGACTCCGATTATGAGTTTGAAATATATCACGTTTCACCGACTCTCTATGCAAGTGTTTGGAGCTTTACTGAATTTTGTCTTGTGATGAAATATTTAACATTGCTCGCCTACCTTGGAGCAATGTTGACGTGCTTACAGAATGAAATTGAGGGCAACCTCATCATGATGGTAATGAGATGGGAGGAATTGAGGGATCCTCAGATTCTGTATAGACTCGCTTCTACTTAAGAGTACAATAGCCAATTCCAACATTTGGTCTCCCGAAAGTGCAGCTTTACATGAACGAAAATTCTCCATCGTCTAAACTGTCAGAAAAGGGGTGATATCAAGACATTATTGCGTTCATTTGCACAATGAATAGAACCATCTATGCTTCTGTTGTATGCTGCTCTATCCACACAAGCAGCTTGGGATCGTTACCGTACAGTGCGCGCTCTTAGCCGCTGTCGTAAGTTCGCCAACTATTACTGCGTACTAGAAGCAATTTGAGTTTGATGATTAAGTCGAGTAATAGTATCTTGCAATACCATTATCGACATGAAGTCGGGTACTGTACTCATACGAGTATTTGCTCAATACCGGTTACTCATCAGGTTGCATTGGCCGAGCGTATTCCTCCAGTCTCACGAGCGTATTCCACAAGCCACAGAGCGTATTCCTCCAACGCGCGTCCCCACATCGCGTCGGCAGACGACCGATTCAGAGCCTGAGAATTGCCCTAGCTTGGCAAAGAGGCGTAGTTTACGGGAGCTAGCGGACGCTGTGTCTCCATCGCATTCGAGCTGTCCTTAATCAACATGAATGTTCTCCACCATGCGGACAAGGGAAGTAAACACCGGACTGATCTCCTTTCTCAAGGCACCAATATCGGTGTACGCGTGGAAACAAATGGCCGGGCTCATCCTTGCTAAGAGTACCAGAATCAGCCTGGTGTGTTCCTCCTCCTACTTACCTATCCAAGGAACACGCTCTGCTGACCCCTGGTGAATAGATGAACAGCCTCATTATGGGCGATGCGCTTGAATACGCCCTTCTGGATTCTGGAAGACAATTTGGAATATGCACTACGTAGAGATGCAGATAATTTGGAATATGTAGAGACGTAGACAATTTGGAATAGGTAGAGACGCAAAAATATAGATCGAACATTGTATAAATACCCACCACGCTGTAGTCGGGTTGTAAGCAACCATAGGAACATCACTTCTTTGTCAACCAGCATCATTATACCAGAGAACCATACTCGTACTCCAGCCAATCAGACAACATGCGTGGCCTTTTTTTCGCCATGGCGTTAGCCAGCTTCGCTTCGGCGTTGCCTAACTATCCTATGAAGGGTCACGAATGGATTCCTGCGGGGCCAGGAGACAGTGGGTGACTCAAAAATCGCCGGTGATTCACATATATAGGCGACTAACCGCGAGAAACAGGCCGCTCTCCTTGCCCTGGCCTGAATGTGCTTGCTAATCACAATTACCTTCCTCGTTCCGGAAAGAACATCGATCTACCAAGCATTCAAGCTGCCGTCGCGGCTGCATACAACTATGTCCCTAACACTTTCGACAGCGCCTTCATACAGGCCCAAGACTGCCATTTGACGACTACAGGCAACTTTTCGACTATCAATCTCTCCGATCTGGCAAAACATGGACATAACTGTGTCGAATTTGATGGATCTCTATCGCGAAATGACCTCTTTTTCGGAGATAATTTGCACTTCGACCCAAAGATTTGGTCGACAATGGCAAAGAGACTGGACTTGAACAAGGTTTCGCACGATCCAAAGTCCAAGTACATCACTGTAGAGCAGGCGGCCAAGGCCAGAGCTGCTCGAGTAGCGGACGCAATGAAGGCCAACCCCAATTTTACTGCATCAGATCTCGAGATGAATGGCAGCCCCGGGACGACAGCTTTGTACTTGACCACGCTGTGGGATGATACCGTGGGAGGTGCTCCTAAGGAATGGGTCAAGTCGTTCTTTGGTAAGTCGCGCAAGTGGTCGCATGTCAACGCTGTCTGAAGAACTTGTACTAATCACCAAACAGAATGGGAAAAGCTCCCTTTCACTAGGCCTTTGAAGCAAAAGACTGGTGAAGATATTGGTAACATGCTTACCGCAGTTCTGGCAGTGAAGGTTTAATCACTGGCTGTCAGCACTTATGCAAAGGTTGGCTGCGATGCACTTCTTGTTCCGGCTGTGAACCAAGTGCGATAAAGCCACTACATTTGGAAAGACAATGGGTACCTTTGAGAAACTGGCATTACAAATACACGAAGTTTTTATATTCTTACTCTCTTTATTTTATTATTTATACTATTTGTTTTACAATGCTTCGGAGCTTGCGCGTATAGGATAATACAGGTTAGCATGCAGGAGAGCGAGAACACTTTCAGTACAACATGCGATTTTTGGAACAATAGATAGTGAATATTTCGTAAATCTAGAGTTATCAACAAATGAAGACTTTGGAAGTTTTTTTCCGTATAATTGAAGATGTTTTTCCCCCCGGAGCTAGCGGGGATGTCAAACCTGCGTATTTTGAGTACGTTGTTTCCTGCGTCGACTTATGCCCCAGTGCTAATGGACCAAATAAACAAGGACAATAGGAAGGATAATTCATGACGAACATAAGACAGCAAGATCTCGAGGGCTCATAAATGATTAGTCTCAGTTCTCTTAGCCTTAATCCAAACCCGGCTCTATGCGTTACTGGCGCAATTCGTGACGAAGCTCACTAGAGCCTCTATACATATACTTTACAACACCATTGGTAGGGCGTCACATTTCGATGAGGAACATTAACAGCTGCATAAAAATAAAACTCTTTTCTACTTAATTCATCAACCAGCTAAATTAATATTGTACTAAATAGAAAGAATTCTAATAGCGTCTGCGAGTATCGGTGTCACAACATGTTTTCGGGCAGCGTGTTAACCACAACGGCCATTACAACCCATTCCTAGAAAAGAAGTCGAAAATAAGCTGGAACCCTGCCGTGGCATTGTTGTGGAGTGGCAGCGCATGGCCAGTATTGGGCTGAAGAGCCACCTCGATTTTCGTAGCGTGGGGGTAAGTCGCGTTCAACTCTGTCATATTGGCCAAACCCCTGCAATCGCCTCGGCAGATGTAAAAGTCAAGCTCTGGCAACAAGAATTGCACAGGGGCCCTGAAGGATGGTCCGGGGTTCCCAAGCAGCGAGAAGGCAGAGGCGAACTCTCCGATCGGGACAGGCTGCTTGATGCTAATGCCATAGTCGAGCAACTCTGGTGTGAAGGCGGTCTTAGGATTGCCACCAAAGAAGATGTTTTGGATGCCATCTCTCTGGGCCACAACGTAGCCGCTTGATCGGTTGAAAGGAGGGTTTCCTGTGGCGGCATATTCGACGCTGAACGATGTTGAGCCGGCGCTCGCAAGTTGGGTAGTGAACAGGTAGCCCGTGATGATGGCTCCATCAGTGAGAGGGCCGTATCTAGCGATGAAAGCCGAGGTAAGGAATGAGCCGAAACTGTGTCCGATGTGGACAACCTTATGCGGGGCTGCCAATGACTTGAAAGAAGGAATGGAGGGTTTCGCATGACCCGCAAACTCATACAGGCTACCATTGCGTGCCATGAAAGTCAATTGACGGAGGATTTCGAGCTCAACAGGTGCTTGAACCACGTCGTATGCATCCGGCTTATCAGATTGACCGACTCCCAGACGATCATATGTGAAAATGGAGTATCCTGCTTTAAGTGCTGCTTCCACGTAGGAGTGGTTCTCCGGCTTGTACTCGGAATCCCAGTATCTAGAGTCGTAATGCACTCCGTGGGTGGCGATCTGCAGGATATTATGCTTTCCATTCTTGGTGGACTTGGGAACACAAAGCTGAGCATGGATGTTGAACGTTTCAGAAGTCGTGGTATTCTTGATGATATTACCAGGGCCGTGTATAGTAGTCCGAGTGGCATCGTAAATTGCCCAGGATACTGCTTCAATATCGTTGTCCACTCTTGGTATGTCAAAAACGGCAGTATCCGCGGTAATAGGCAGCGGAATGTCCAGCTGCTTGCAATATCCGTGAGGCCTTTCGACACAGGCATTTGCTGAAACAGAAATGCCTGGTAGAAGCATTAAAGCTCCTAAGAGCAGTGTAGAGACCATTGTCTTTAAAGATGGGGATTAAGTAGGTGAACTGTTCGTAGAGTTACTGGTAGAAGATGATCGATGATTGCAAGTAGATTTGATGACCAAAGAAAGAAAGAAAGTATAAGCTTATTTATAACAAAAAACATCAACCATATGCCAGAGGTTTTGACAAATACTTGCATTGGCCAAGTCAACCTCAGCCGAAAATTGTATAAAATTGCTGACATGAGGCTATGATACGCCATGTTATACGCTCTCCCATTTTGACGCTGAATGTTAGCCAATTCATACGTTGTCTGCGCTATGCACTATGAGGAGCACGCCATGAGGAGTACGCTATCAGCACACAGCAGGCTATACGCTCTTACGCTATGAGAACCAGGCTATATTACGCTCTTACGCTAGATCCCACAACAAAGCGTCAGCTCAGCCTCAATCTATGCGTATAACTTAAAAGCAACTGCATTGCAATCCTTTGGTCCTTTTGCAATTCCGGTTTAGGTCAAACACCGATTTGATCAGTCAGCTGTTTGCGCCTTTCATACGACTAAATGAGATGCTGAAGATGCGCCTTAGAGAGTACATGGTAGGCATGTCATCTTCTTATCTCTGATTCACACAACCAGTCCGACATTTGCAATACCTGAAGAATAATTGGTTTCGTGAGTTCGCAGTGCAAATGACGAGATGGCCAGTTTAGATGCGCCTATCTCAGGAGTATATATATTTTATAGGATGATACATTTGCTGCTGTATTAGAATGGCCTTCATTTATACGACATCAAGAATGAAGAAACTCAGGCCTTGCTCAAGGGCCACCCATGCCCAAGCGACGTCAGCGGAGCTATGTCAATTGAGCAGGGAAATTCTCAATGCCAAGATCTGAGTGGTGAATTCGGAGCATATGACAACAATTTCCTGCTTACTGGTCTGATCTAGTTAGGCACCCACGATCAGAAAGATCGGGCTGACAAATTGTTGAAGACAATATCGGCCAGACTTCCAGCGGGGCATTTAGTTACTGGCATCAGAGTCCGAAGAGCAAATAAGATTGTAGTTGTGAAGCAACACCTGTCTGTTGATTAGGCTTAAAAATGATCATCGTAGAAAATAATGGTGCGCTAATGACTTGCATTATGCATTCACTAACACTGAGAAATTTATGTCATCTCTAAGCGATTATTTGCCTGCTAAGGATGTGGAAGCTGCCACGAACATACGCGAGCTTCGCTCGTGTCGTTTATCCACTGCTAATGAGCCTCTCGCCTTCAATAGACAAATCAAATCAGCTTAGAATACAAATGCACTTAGTCAGACTATCCAAGGGGCAAGTCCTGTCATATTACCGAGGCGAGCTATCACGTATATTCTCGGTAATGGGTCTTCAAGGCAGGCGCCCATGAAGCAATTTAGGTCTTGATTACGCTATAATAAGTTTAACACGATGGTACTTGGAGTTATTTGAAAGTTACATTGTCGGGAATATTAATTACACCGTACACGATAGAATCAAACATGCCGTCGGCATTCAACAATGATCAATATGTAATAATTTGTATGCAACAAGTGGAGTTATTCGTAATCTAGAGAGCGAGTGCGCTTTCATAGCCAACCCCCTAACGATTAGCCAGTAGCTGCAGCTATTAAAAGCGCTGGTAATACTGAGTTACTTAGTGTCTATACAGTACTAAATAATATATAGAGCGCCAATAATTGACACACGGATTCGTAGACGACCCAAACTTGCTACTTCAAGTCAACAAAAACCTCTATTCAGTTGAACATGGCAATTGTCGGCGAGGGAAACGCAATCTCGCCGGAATTCCACATGAAGCTTTACTTGACCGGCATCCCCGACCCTAGTGGCAGAAATGGTCGTATTATAGAATAACCATGTTTTCAAGTCTTTTAGTGTAATGTACCGAGGTAGTGAGATATTGATTAGGAAGGTCAATCCAAGAAAATGAAAGCCCACCACAACATTTTTCATGATATGAATATTATCTTCATTCTCGCCTAGTTTGCCAACATGTCTGTTCAAACCAAGTACACTTAACAAGCTCGACTCATCCAATTCCGAAAAAAATGGTGTTGTCACTTCGTATTCTGGGCTCTGCTGCTGTTATGGCAGTCGCAGCCTCTTGCAAGCAGCTCATTCTGAATGTTGGTCTGCTCTTTTGGCTTGAAATTTCGAATTCATTTTAATCCGCTTATAGTTTGATGACATCGCCATATCAAACGACAACGGGTGTGGTAATTTCACCTTTGGAGAGTTTTCTGTCTATCATGTGAGTTATCCTTGAGTTTATTCATTATTTCAATCAAAGCTGACACGTTCCAGGATATCGCGGTTTCAGATGCTTTTGGCACTTCTAGGGTTTTCAATGCCACCAAAACTCCATCTTGCAACTCTGTCTTAGACGAGGATATAAGTTTAGCCTTGTTTGGTCGAGCGCCTTCACCTTCCAACGTGTTATTTATCAGCGCATTGCTTGATGCCCAGATTGTCACTGCTAATGTAAATACAACATTGGTAAACGAAGCATCGTTTGATATATTGCCCGTCTTTTCAGAAGCTGAGGTAAATCGCGTTTAAGCTCCAAGCCAAGACTAAGCTAACTTATCTCAAGCGTAATTCGAGCGATGTAACTGTTAGAGTTTTTACTTTATTTTCTGATTTCGCCGATGTCGAGATTAACCATGAGTTCGAATTCCACACTGCAACCGATGGATGGGGTCCCTATCACGTCAGTGTTTCTTCAAATGGTGTCGAGTATCGGTTTCTTGAGGCTGACGTAGTGCTTCCGGATGAGGATTCCCAGAGGGGAGGATTACCTCCCGCCTTCTTCCTTGATAACCTTGTTTTGGAGAGTACAGAGTGATGCTGTCTGGGAAAGTGAAGCTAGCACTATTAACATATAGTAGTAAGCGCAAGTTATCATAGAACGGATAACCAACTTTCTCTTTAGCTATAAGAAGTTTAGTTGACAGCTATTGATAGCCCCACAGGGATTGCAAAGCCCAATTGCTTGGAAATACACCTACTTTTAACACCCTAAAACCCCAATATTTTTTTGTACCGATCTGGTCCGCCGTAACAACAATATCTTTGGTGAATGGTTGATTATAGTATTATAATCACAGTAATTGAGATTATGATTATTACCCTAATCCTTTTACTGCGTTCAAGTAATGATCAGTGAACTGTAACATTTTTCTTTCTTAAATATAGGTATATATATCTAATGCAATAGTACATAAAATTTATTTCGATTACGAGGCTTAAACTTTGCGACCAAAACCGCCTTGACATGCAGGACAAAGTCAATATATACAATGCACTGGATACGACTGGCTGTCCTATCATAATATCATGGCCTTAGTTCATTGCTTATAAAGGGGAGGTAGAAATTCTGAAATATATACCAAATGGAGATTTAAGCATAAATTGGTCAGGGATCGACCTGATAAGCTGCCTATCTTTGCACAGCTTTACTCAACGATTGAGCGCCTGTAGGTCATTGAGAATCACTGGAATTTTAAGAATTCGAAGATTTCAGAGTAGTATTGTTTGCCCACCATGTTTGTCAATATGTCTTGCATGGTTGAAGCAAATCTATAAAGCAAATACGTAATTCGTAGAGATCAGGCACTCTCAACCTTTATGAGTTATTTGGGAACGAGTCGAACAACGCGGTTGGTTTTAAATAGGTGATAGATACAGCAACCCTGAGAGGTCTCAGTCAATTTAGGCGTACGCTATGGGGGAGATGACGATCAACGAGTACTACGGGCCATAGCATCACTCATTCCGAAGTCAACCCTGGCCAGGTTACTCACCCCGGCGATGGTCAGCGGAGGCTTAAATTCGGCACGCCACCACGTCAGAGACACCAGCGGCTAGGCTTAGTCGCAGTTTGATTGGGACTACGGAAAATAATAAGGTAACCTTTATGCTTTCATTTTGCTTTCAGTGAGGTCCATTACTCTCATTCAGGTATAGCCCTGTTCATCTCCATTACTCGGTAGGATAGGGATATGCAGTACAAGTGACATAATAGAGAGATCGGTGGATGGTAATAAGGCCTGTTGTTTGTACTAATTTGAAAACTTAGCTGTTTTTGTTATGATTCTGAGTCTGGGGGCCTAGCCAGTACTTATGCGTTGATACAGCACCAGATACATCAAACCGGCATTCACTTAAACTGGCATTCGCTTCGGATATTTATCTTGAGGATAAAAACCTCTCATCTTACACGCGAGTGGTTCATTCGAATAATATGGCAACTATTCCCCTGTCTACTAGCCTGATCTAGCTACACTAGTAGAGTCTATAATTGGGATGACAAATGAGAAACGACAACATGCCTGCCGTCGGTGAAACTTTCTGCGGGGCTGTCAGTTGCCAGCGTAGCAGTCCGAAGAATGGGCAAGTTTTTACTTGCGAAGCAACACTTCATTATATATTAGGCTTACAAATATCTTTCTTAAAGTGAGTGCGATGGAGTACTCCACTGCCCATGTTGATAGATATGACTACTCATAGGCAACTATTTGCCTGTAAAGCGTCTGAGCCATATCATCGGCTGAGAATGTATGCATGCACTTAAAGAGACAGGCAATCAAGTATCATGTCCCAAGATTGTACTAGCATTCGAAAATTTGAAGTATTATTGAGAAGAAACTAGATATGTATTAGTGTTTTATTTTAATAAAGTTAATACTCCACAATGTTTGTATTATAGATGGCAAATGCGTTCTTACATCTACTTTAGTATTATTAGCTCAAGTATGAACTGACTGCTGTATGGCTAATTAGACGACATCAAATAAAATACTTCCCTATTTTCCAAAACATTATGGGGCTCAGAGATAAGCACAAACTATGCACCAAAACAACATCAACGTGGAGAAGCCCACATCCCCCCGATCCAGACACTGGTCGCTTCGGCCATAATCCCGTCTCGCGGTACTTCTCCCGATTCATGAATTAATAATAGAGTGCATGACACCTGACAAGTAATGATTCCACATTGTCTAATTGAAGATACGACGTGGGATTGTGGGATTGAAAGTGATCTAGCGCGTAACAATAGCGCTGCTGCTGCTATTGGCGTTGGAAATCCCCCTTTCCACTGCCGTAAGTTTTCAAACTACTCCAAGTCAATTACAATTAGTTTAATTCACAAGCTGCTAAACACTTTCATTGCTATTGCCTTGGAACATTGTCATCTGCCGATGATATGGACGCCCAAGACATGGCTAAGCTAGGCTCAGCGCGAGCAGTGGCGATCTCAGCATCTATTATCGCTACACAGCTTGTTCAGGTTTGTGAGGACCGAATTGCACGCTCGATTTTGTCTTGGAATTATAGCTCAGCATATTTTTAGATGATTCCTTTTGGTGCCGGGATTCTCGCCTCGAGCATCATTGCCCGCGACCTCAATTCACCGAACAAGACAAGCTGGATTGCAGCTTCGTACCCGTAGGTCCAATTCTACTTAAAAACTTGTCAATATGCAATTTTTTCGACTAATATCATCTCAAGCTTAACGCAGGGCGCTTTTGTTTTAATAGGCGGTCGTATCGGTTCCATCTATGGCCATAAAAATGTGCTTGTCGCAGCTTGTCTGTGGTGGTCAATATTCTCATTGGGTTCAGGCTTTTCCCGCAACATCGTCACGCTCATTGCGCTCCGAGCACTGACTGGAGTTGGAGGCGCTTTCATGGTGCCAAATGCTATTTCACTATTAACCATAAACTTCCCGCCTGGAAGACTTCGAAATCTGAGTGTTGGTTTCTTTGGAGCAATGGCACCCATTGGTGCTTCGATAGGCTGTGTGTTCGCTGGTCTTTTGGCTCAGTTGACGCCATGGAAATACATGTTTTTTGGGTTGTGAGTATAGCCGAAATGTATTTGCTCGCTGCAATGCGTATCTGACTATGTTATTATAGCACCATCATGGGTGCCCTTGTGACAGCACTCGTTGTGCTTGTTGTCCCCGGCGAGACTGAACCTTTGGATAAACACGGACGTGTTGACTACATTGGGTGCTATCTTGGAGTCGCTGGACTCATACTGTTCAATTTTGTTTGGAAGTTAGTATCTATCTCCCATCCCTCTCCAAAGTCTATTCCATCTTCACAAGTTGACACTCAGAAACAGTCAAGCTCCATTCGTTGGTTGGCAGGAGCCGTATGAGTACGCTCTACTGATTGCTGCAGTTGCCCATCTTGCCGCATTCATTCTCTGGGAAGCCCGATTCGCAGCTGACCCAATCTTGCCGCTCGATATATGGACAGCAAAATCGATCAGTCCAATGTTGTTGGCATCATTTATTTCGTTCATGGCAGTCGGCATCTTGGTATGGTATTGCAATACATGGAATGTGAATCTGCGAGGATACTCGACATTGCTGTGTGCTGCTACCTTTGTTCCACTTGCAATCGGAGGAACCACAGCGGCCATAGTCAGCGGCTTGGTCGTACCACTCTTAGATGCCCAATACATCTTGGTGATAGGCAGCGCGTGTACCATGATTGCGTGCATTCTTGCTGCAACAATGCCTGACAAGCAGTCATACTGGCCGCAGATGTTTCCGGCAATCACGATTCTTAGTTACGGCCCCGACTTTCTCTTCGCAGCGTCACAGATCATTGCAAGCAATACTGTAAAGAAACATCAACAGGGAATTGCCGGGTCTTTGATTGGCACTCTGGTAGCCTATGGTCAAAGCACAGGTATTGGATTCGCCGGCACTGTCGAAGCTTATACCAACAATCACGGCGCCAATATCGGGGATGGATATCGACATGCCTTGTATCTGGGAATTGGACTTGCTGGGCTATCAATTATTATCGCTATAATTTTTATTCGCATCCCAAAAGACACTCACGACGGATGGGGTGATGAGGAGTTAACTGTGATGGGAGATCTGTCCGATCAAAGCGAGCAGAACAAAGCTGACGAGAGCTTAGATTCCCAGAACAAACAACTACAACAACAGGAATAATAGCTAGAAAATTTGTTTTGCTATTGTTTCTACAGCTACTAGAACACTGATATTGTCCTTCATATCAAGCTCGTCTCATATATTATCACAAACACAGCTTTTTAATCTAGAAACGACAAATGGCGCTTACTATTATGTTATCTTGTCGATAAGACTGAAATACTTTACATGCATCCTGTCTACTTCTGAAGTTCTGTCAACAAGGGACCTTCTCTGATTAGTTGCTTACAGAGATTTTGTATATCTCAACCTACTTCGACAATATTTATAGTAGAAGCCAAAAGTTGTGCCACATGTAATTCTCAGTAAACACGATTCTAGAAAATCTGCCGTAAGATGCTATTCTTCTCTATTAAAATTTCACTCGTGTTAAGCTCATCGATCTGTACACAATCTAGAAACAGAGTCTCCAGATATGATTGAGGATAATAACATATTAACATGATAAATAATCACTAGCAGCTATACTAGGAAGTCGTTGGAAATGTAATTCCAAGCTCCCTAGATACTTCACGCCAATTGGCTACGAGGCCCCAGTCTCAAACTTGAAGGCGGATATTTGAGGCTGTATACATGAAGTCGAAGGAATTAAGGCATCCCACACGGAGTAAACATGCTGATAAATCACCAAGAAGGTGTTTTAAAAGAAGCAGTTGCTCCTATACTCATGACCTTGAAGCCAAGAATATGCCCCATATTTCAAGGTCACACCAGTCTGCTTGCTAATTATTCGCGGATTGTTGCCGGGAAGCACCATGAGCCAATCATCTCCACAGAATGCAAACAAGCTCCCCACAAAGCGACACAAAGCGGCGCAAAGCGGCTGAAGAGAAGGAGACCCCACAAGGTCCGGGGTTGTGTGCTCCGGAGCGATCCGCAGGGCTCCGATGTGTGTCCGACGTGTTGACCTCCAATCATTCTTGGTTGAGTCTCTTTATTTCCGTTTCAGAAAAAATCTCGTTCGTTCCAATTCCGAAAGGACGATGTACTTCACGATTTGAAATCAGGAAAGCACAATGCCTTTTGCTACAACGTCTCTCGGTGGAGTAGCTCAAGTTGCAACTATCTTCCGCATCCCTGGTTTGCTTGTAGGCAACCAACAGATGGGACAAATTGGGCATAGTTGTTGTACATGGAAACATGAAGGATCGAGGCATGCGCCTTTTACTATGCACAATGTGGGTAAAGAGAAATACATCTGGTGGGTATCCCGAAGGATATAAAACCCAAGCCTCCCAACTCTCCGAAGAGCTCTCTAACAATTCTCTCATCACAATTCCAGGACCAACAACTTGACTTAACACATTTTTTAGTATTATTATTAACAGATATAAACACCCGGTCAAAATGAGTATGCCAAACCCCACCGCCAAATACCACAACAACCCTACACCTGTGGTTGATCCTACGCAAAAGCATCTTTCGGTAGCTGGCAAAACAGTTCTCGTCACAGGAGGTGGCACAGCTATTGGAGCTGCAACTGTGGAAGCCTTTGCGAAAGCCAAAGCCGACCACGTCTTCTTCGTTGGAAGACGACTCAATCTTCTTCAGGCTGTTGAGCAACGGGTCATTGGCACCTTCATATTCCTTTGTCGGCCTTAAACTAATGCATCGCAGCTCTCGAAACTATACCCACAGACCAAATTTCACGCCCTCCAAACTGACATTTCCAAAGAGAATGAAGTCAAGGCTTTGTTCGAAACTATCAACAAGACCAGCTTTCTCGACATTTTAGTCGCCAACGCTGCATACCTCTCTTTACCCGGTAAACTCGCCACTACCGAAACAGACGAATGGTGGAAGGGATATGAAATCAATGTACTGGGTACCTATCTTCTCGGGAAATATTTCATCAACCAGTCAAAGCCATCTAGGGGGAAGCCCGTGTTCATCGGTGTGAACACTGGCGCAATCAACGTCGGTCCCGGTTTCTCCAGTCCCATGAGTGGCTATGTGTCCTCCAAGATGGCTGCTGCTTCGGTGGTAGAGTTCCTCCAGCAGGAGTACCCGAACATCAAGGCATTTAACGTTAGCCCTGGCATGGTTCAGAGTGAGATCGCCGACAAGTCCAATACGCCACAGTTCCCGCCAACGGACTCACCCGAGTTGATGGCCAACTTTGCAGTCTGGCTTGCTAGCCCCGAATCAGACTTCCTCGCCGGTCGTTTCATCTGGGCCAATTGGGATGTGGAAGGATTGCTTGCGGCCAAAGAGAAGATCCTGGCGAACCCGGGACAATTGAAGCTAAATATCGACGGCTGGGAGAGCAACTTTGCTGCCCTCAAGTAAATAGATACAGGAGATGATTCAACTCTATGTTTCTATGTTGTATATGGATCTCACTTGATAGAGCGAAGAACAATCTCAAACATATTTTGTCAGTATCTTACGATACCTTTTGGTCGCCAACAAACTATTCCCTTCTAGCTGTTAATTATTACATGCTGTCTTTCAAGAGTCTAGCTCACCATCAGCACAGCGTTTGAGCTCTATTGTTGTGTTACCATATGAAAAGAAATAGGGTAGGCTAGCAGTAATAATCACCTCTAATCCACCAGTGCTACCCCAAAGCCACGATATGCGCCGGTACTACAATAAGTTAATAATCCGCATACGTACATTCACCCGCGTGTTTACGCCTGTTTAATGAACACAATTGCTTAATTAATAGCCAAGTTTCTCCAAGTATCGAATCTCAGATAATCCCCTCGCCATTATTCACCGAACAGTGGTGATGACGCATTGGTGCTAGGCTCGGAACCTAAAGAGCACATCAACGGAACACAAGGCTCTCCCTTGCATCGGAAAAACAGATGTAGCATGTACAAATTGATTAGTACAGTTGTTGTCTTACTTTTGTTTTTGTTTTTTACAAGAGTCTTAATTTTATGGAAGACATTTGGGCAGCAGTCAGCGTCAATCATCTGGTGCAACCGACTTTTGCATCTTTCAAGCGCTCTATTAGCAATTCTTTCTTTCGCAAACACAAGTCCTACGCAGTGGATAGACTTCTAACACTTGAATAAGCCATGGTTTTCATCGTTATGGCATGGGCCATCACGTTTACGGCAATCTGTACCCTGATTATCTGCTTAGGCTTTGGCCCAGTTGGGATTGGTGCAGGTATGTGGTCATCTCTCCTCCAAGGATACCTAGGAATTGCGGTGTACAGTCAGCTAACAGATATCCAGGAACATTCGCCGCTGCGTTTCAGTCGTACATGTATGGAGCCTTTACCCCAGCCGGAGGGATCTTTGCGACGCTCACCAGCATGGCGATGCTGGGTATTTTGATGCCAGCCACAGCTATCCTGGCTGCTGTGGTTGCCACAGGAGTGGCGATACTCGTATGGGTCTTGGGGATTAGCCGATCATGACTGTAGGGCTTAGGCTTTCCATTCTTGGATGCTGGCTGGTCAGTCAGTTCCCAGGTGCTTCAGACCAAAGAAGTTTCCCAGCTTTCAGCAAACTATGGAGTATATCGGCAGCCTTCAGCTAAGTACGGGGTATCTCGGCCCGCTCTGAGCCATGTTGAAAGCGGGCAAGCTGGCCTAATATTCCGATGGGTTGCCTATTACAGAAGGCCGTTGTGCTTACACACCACACCGCTGGGCTCAAAGATGATACTATTGTCTGCGAATATATACTGTATGTTATCATTGCGGATCTTCTGTACGGTGTCTAGATTGCAGTAATGTTAAAAATAGAAAAAACTATTCGCCGTCCTTGCGATTTCGGCTGAATTGCCGGGTAAATTATAATAATATGTCTTACTCAAAGAGTAATGCACCCTACAGCATCTTGTAGTATACAGCAGCAGGGGGCTGTCAAGCTTGAATAAGAGCTTGAAGGGATTCTGACAGTGGATCCGGCGGCAGCCCTTTCGAAGGTTTAGTCCTATTTCATGCGCTCATCTACCAACTCCCGGGCTCAAGAAGGAGAGAATAATGCACCCGAATACTTTGTAATCTCATTGTTTATTGGGTCCTATCTTCCTAATTCTGCTGCGGGATAATAAATTCGCCGCTTACTCTCAGCCAAACGGGCGTAGCTGAGCTCATCGGCACCAAAATCCGGGGGTATACCAGGGGGATCGAAGTTGTCCCGATGCCAGCGAGGGGCAAGGGACGATCGCCGGCGCTATCATGGGGCTGTCAGCATACTACATTCTAGACACTTGTGGACTTTGTAGTTGATCAATTGCCCGAAAAGAGAAACTTTCACGAAAATAACGGCTGCCTATGCGCAGAGCACGTGGATACTGTTGAGAACGATTGAGTACTCATACTGAGTGAGATGGTGTATGACAAAACATTGGCTTATACAAGAAATGCGGAGATGATGAATATCTGAAGTCATGATGAATGGATATAAATACAGTGATGCTTTCCTCTTCATCTCAAGAGTTGTATCCTCATCACTCCCATTCACATCATCATCACAAGTACCAACAGCAAACAGTTCTTTTTTACTTTACCAACGTATCCGCCTACCATGAAGGCGCAGGCAACCATCGCGCTGGTCGCCGGCCTTTTGGCGAACGCCGTAACCGCTCAGACATCTTTGGGCGAATTGTCCTTTGGAGCGCCTCAGTGCGGTGATGGCAAACTAAGCGGCATCAACGCCGCCGACTGCAACACGGCGGTTGCTCAATTGCTAGGCACTCACTGTTCAGGAGGTGTCTGCAGCATCCCCGCCGCAACAGGCGGTGCCTCGGAGTCGGCCATCTCTGTGTTGGTTGGAAAGTGTGAAGCCTTCATTGGTGCCTTTGCAGATGGAAAGGCTGTCACTTTCAACGAAGATTCGGTGCAACAGGCGTTTCCTGGCTTCATTTCTCAATGCCTTGCTGCGTCTGGTGGCTTTGGTAGCCCAATCTTGATCAGCACTGACGGAGTCATCCGCCTGGTTATTTCCAACGGAGAGAGTGGTGGTGGCTAAAGGTGTGGGTATGGATATATAAATCGAACATACGGGGAAGCATTGGATATAAGTGGTTACAATATAGCTAAAGAGAGACCATGCAAAGTCAAATATATTGTTTTTCTATCCGGCATCTTGACACTGTTTCTTGATCAGTCAGATTTGGCCAGATGTCCCAATTATCGTAACATAATGAATTTCTAAGGGAGTACGAAGAGGCTATTGTCCTTATGCATTAATTATTCTGCATGTGGCACGACTGCTTTGCCGACAAGTAAGCTAGGCCTACGAGAGCTATTTCCAATGAAGTTGTAAGCGTAATCCACCAATGCTACCAGGGTAGCTTTGTCCCATCGTAATTATAAAACATGCCATTATCCTTTGGAGTAATTCCAGCAAGCACTTTCATAGAACTTTCGGCGCATTCTTCGATGGTCTGCCGGGGGACATTTGGAGCGTATGTCTTCATCCACTCTTCAATTCCGCTTCCAACTTCAGTGGAAGCGGAATAACCTATAACAAACTTAGTTTTGTAGTATGATGTATTGAAAGTAGCGGATTACCTGGATGAAGCAGAACAGTAGTTATACCCTGGTCCTTAAGGACAGCGCTCCACTTGCGCACCATCCTTAGATGTCATCAGCAGTGCTTCTTGTACTTTGTTGGAGGTATCGATAGACTTACATATTTAAAGCAGCTTTGGCAGTCGAGTATGCATTCTGCAGATTCGGCATACTCGCGCCAAGCTCAGTTGAGCCTAACACCGATGAAATGACGAGCACTCTCTTGGCCACGCTTTTGCGAACCAATGGAATGAATTCACGCAGGAGCAGCAGAGTGGCGGTCAAATTGAAGTTGACCTCGTCAATAAACTCATTGACATCACTATATCACGATTAACAGATGGACAATCTCAGGGCGCTGAGGTGTTGGGAAGACAAACATATCTTCAAATGAAGTCAAGGGGTTAGGATTCACTCCCGCGTTACTGATTAGGTTGTCTAAGCCTCCTGGCAACAGACGGCTAGTCTCCTGGGCGGCTCTCTGGATGCTCTCAATGTTGGTGACGTCCAGATCGATGAGGTGCAGCTGTCCATCTCCGTGCTTGCCCTTCAGCTCTTGAAGACCAGTGGAGGCTGCCGTGTTTCTCGCTGTTGCGATTACTACATTGTTCTTTCCTTTGAGCTGTTTCATACAATATGAGTGGTCATGTTTGGTATGAGGATAGAGGGTTCAGATTGACTTACTAACTCGGTCACAAAGCCAAGGCCGAGACCACGGCTTGAGCCGGTGACAAGATACGAAGGCATGATTTAAATATAGACTGCCACAAGTGTATAGAATATGTAGATTGAGCTTAGCTTCTGTCTATATTTAGTCTGGTCAGTATAAACAGCTAATTCGTCATTTGCGGCTGCTAACCTTCCTTTCGCTGCGACAATTTTACTCTTTCATTATCTATAATGGTAGATGGCGCGACAAGGTCGTTTTATATCATGCCAAATCGGTGTCTTTGAACCCCTGCATGCGTATTCGGCTATGGATATTTCGTAAATATGTTGTTCAGCTGTTCCCTCGATATTAGCTTATAAATCAACAAATTGCGATATAGTAATTTACCACAAGAAATTCAACTGCGGGATGCGGTGCGGACTATCACCGGCGGGTTTACGGAGCAGAAATCTCATTGTTAGCGCGAACACGATTGCCGAAGTACTATCAAATTTCAAGTAGTAAGTCTATTATTCCACTTGTCCTTGAATAGCAAAGTTGCCATGCGGGGGTATTCACAGGGCTAACTTCAAATAAAACTGCAAAGACCGCGACATATTTCGGAGTACCTTCAAAAGGCACCATTGATTCCAAATATTTTGCGGGTCTACAGAATCTACGGATAGCCGGTATTCATTTTTCTCTCTCTTGTATTTTAACCAACTCTTCAAGTTCGCTTCAGCTGAAATGTAAAGGCTGAATGTATTTCTGATGTTCTACCTACTCCCCTATATCAAATGCTGCCTCAAGATCACAAATCATGAAAGTTTTTTGGCTGATTCTACAAGTATTCTTGTGAATATACTCCGTGTGATAGACTAATATTGCACATTCATTGTATAGAGGGGTTGTATGAAGCATTGGCATAAACCGTCTCGGATGGAGGGCCCAGGAAGTTATAAAACGGGACCATGTCATCCGAAAGGGAATATTCATCTGACACTGCGGCATAAAGCTGCATGGTAGGATCGCTTGGAAGATGTATTGACACTTCTGCTGCCCCATTTCGAAACATTTCGTCGTCAAGAGAGGAAGGGGATTGGCTTGGGTAAGCGAACGGGTCATCTGCTGAGAATCGTAGAAATATCTGATCTGGCGCCGCATGCATATGATTGAGTTGCTGTGCTGGGATATAGTGTCCATTTACAGGCAATTCTGTTGATGGGGCGGTATCAGAAGCTGAGCTGATTGACCCATTCAAGGCGTAAGCACCCTGTTTATTGGATGACGAGGAGCACGGCGTCTCATTGGACGTTGAGCTCTTTCCTCCAAAATTGGAGGCTGGCTGTAGCATCGTGGAGCTTTTCGTATTCGTAGGCTGAATGATTGGGCTTTTGCGCTTGTTCAGCCTCTCTGGAAGATGCTCTATAAGAGACTAGGTCCAGTATTGTAAGTATATGCGCAAAAGAAAACAAGAAACAAGATCCCTTACATAGAGACAAGCACATCTTTCTACAGCTATGCTGTTAGTGGCTAATCCCGCCAGTGTATTCTTTCCTTCCAGTGTGTCTTTAAGAATGCCATCTGTAGTTGCGGGAGGGCCAGGATTCTCAAGCAAAAAGTAGGCCAATGTGAAGACGGCATAGTAAATCATGTGTACCGCAAACCAGGAAGAGCCATTCAGAAGACGTCTATTGTACATCTCCGTAGTAATATGGATAATATTTCTTGAGACGCTGATACAGGCAGTCGCGCATCCATAGGATCGCCTGTCGATGTCCTGAGACTGGAAATCATTCGAAACATAGTGTAAAAATGGTCGATACATGACCCATTGCACATGAGCATATCCTATCCGGAGCATTTGTTGCATGCTAGGCGAGTTAGTATGTGGAATAACGGCTGGTAAATCGTATGCGAAGGAAACTTATTGCGCCAGTCTAGGAGAAGTTTCACCGCGCGATTGCAAAACCTCAGGTAGACTCTTCATCCAGGATTCCAGATCCTTCTCGATCTCTCGCAATCTAGAATGACGAACCACATACGTATGATTGGACGGGGCCAAGTGTGTAGCATGCCGAACGGGTTAAACATATTTGACCACCTTGACAATAATGTCTACTAGTCGGGTGTGGGCATTTACACCCATCATTAACGACGTCCGGCCCACAGGCATTGGTAAGATGCCGGCTGGAGTGATGTATTCATCATCTACTTCCAGCGGATATTCTTGGTCAATATCGTCACTGCTCACAAGCAGGGGTAGACCGAGCAGCGTGCTAACGTATATATCCATGTTCCGAATGGCCCAAAATATACGTTTTCTGAGTTCGCGTTCGAGGGCGTTGAAGTTGCCGAATACAAAACGATAAAGTCCCAGTCGAAGAGCGGCGCGCTAAGCAATGCCAATATAAGAATAGCATGTGCTTAATTTTGCAGACGATTGAAGAAACAGAATCATAAAGCATATTGTTTGCAAGGTAACCAGATCTCGGCAGTTTGTCATATCAACCAACTCTTGGCACAGCTCAAAGTATCGATACCTGAGGGTAAACAGGAAGTTGGTCAGCATATACAAGACAATTATGTCGGATACGATACAGATAAGCTTACGCTTGGTCGAGGACAATCTCATAATCAGCAATTTCTATTGGTGGCTTAACATCGTCTAAGAAGAGGCATCCCACAGCCAAGACGATATATAACTGAGGCAGAAGTGTACGCTCTTCGTCTCCAAACTGATCCCATGTGGTTGCATAAATACGATCAAAGCTTTTCCAGAAGGACGGTTCATGGACGAAACGCATGAGGACACACGCGTGGTCAAAACAGGTCTGACTGAGCTTTCGGGCAATCTCTTGTGAAGGCAAGCCAGAAATCGGAGTGTTGTCGGTGCTGTTGCTACTTGTGTCCTGAGTTTTCCTTGTCTGAGGCTCAGGTTGCTTCTGAGATTTTGACCTCGGTTTTGACTCGGTCAAAGAGCGAGGAGGAATGATCAAGTTCCCGAATTGGTTTTGCAAGCGCTGTGTGAAGATGCTTCCTGATGAATGGCCATGGTAGTCCCAATACCCTCGGTCGTCCAGATCCAGAAACCCGAAGTTTTCCATCATTGTTTCGAGAAAGGATTTGTTGCAATCCTCAATAGGCATAGTTTCGCCCGGACTCGAGGTCGGCGTTAATCGAGATGTCAAGACACTTTGAGGAGATGCTTGATTTATTATGGCCGCAATTTGTGCGGTATCTGCGGTGTCTAGACGAGGATCACTGAGATTCACGTTAGGAGCCGCGATTCTGACGACAGCTTCTGCTCTGCGAAGCCGAGCTTCCAATGCCTTTACGTAGTAGGATGGTTCACTGCGGCTGCGCTTTGTTATCTGGTCATAGGAGCATTCTGTTGGTTCACCATTAGTCAGTTATTACACAGATATGGTCTTGGCACGGCCGTCAAACAATATGAGCAATTAACATACCGTAGTCATAGACAATACAATGAGCACAGGGCTGCTTTCCGTCGCATCTGATCTTCCCTCGGCGGCATTGATCGCAGGCGCGCAGCACCCTCTGCCTCTTTGACATCCTAGTAAGGGGGGATTCGGTATGATTCGGCAATTTTTGACTGGATAAGTCTTCTGTTTCATAACTATGTTAGTCTTCCCATCAGCTACAATGAAGAGGTTGGCGAGTATCTACACCCAAAGCGATCATGGAACAAAGACAGTGGTAACGGGATGAGTATGATGGGAAGTAATTCAGCAGCAAGAACAATCGGCCCAGAGTCAAAATACCAGTAGATCTTAAGATCACTTGTATTCTCAAACTAGGTAATCATGACTTCAATGTCATGACGTGACGAACAAAACTCACAAGACACAAAAGAATGGATGACTATGGTGTCGATGACTGAGACTCTAGACAACTATTTCCCCACCAGCTAAATTCCAACCAGCCATTCACCAAGCACGAATTCTAGTTGAACCAATCAATTCCGATTCCGAGTTACCCTTCCGAGTTACCCGTGTGGAGAAACCCGATACGTACCTTGGTGAGATTCCACTTGTGTCCAACAAACAAACAAACAGCTTCTGAGAGTTCTGCTTACTGCCCACCTGTTTGCAGCGACTGAATTTTCGCCAATGCCTCCTTTCGGACGTCATGCACAATATCTGACGCTGATTTGACCCCGTGGATCAATCCAATTGCTGCTCCCGCGTAGGTAGCCCGTCTTCCCTGCTGTCCCCATCCCGAGTCCCCTGCTTGGACTGCCTCATCATACATCTCTTTGAGCTCCCCAAATGGCTTTCCTGCTTGGTGATCTATGAAGGTTTTGTTTATAATCATCCTGGGGCTGTATGGCTTAGGCCACACGTATTCCCCTCGGAGGTGGTTATAAAGCAAGGTTCGTGTTGTCGATACAGCACCATTAGTTGCTTGGATAACCGCATTCCGGTACCCTTGGTCAATACGGGCTTCCTTTGATGCGAGGAATCTAGTTCCCATCGCCACTCCTGAGGCGCCAAGGGACAGCGCAGCAGCAACGCCTCGCCCGTCAGCGATTCCCCTTGCAGCAACCAGAGTAATGCCGCCCTCTACCAATGCATCAGCCACTTCAGGGAACAATGTTATGAGACCCAACCCATCCTCAACTCTCCCATGGCCACCGGATTCTGCTCCCTGAACAACAATAACGTCCGGTTTCTCGGAACTCTGCGAGAGTGTTGTTGCTTCAAGCACTGTTCCAATCTGTATCCATATTTGGGTGTCGGGAGATACACTGCGAATTTTCTTTGACCATGTTTCGTACTCTTTCATCTCGTGTGGAGCATAGAGCTACACCGCAGATGGCTTGAACTTCTCAATGACAGAAGTCGCCTCATTAACATCATCTCGCCAAAGGAGAAATGCCACGCCAACAGGAAGCAGAGACGATGTGGTCGCCTCTCGAGAGAGAAATGGTGAGCCTTGAGTTTTGAGAAATATTTGTGACGCCTCTTCAAGGTTGGTGGCCGCATCTTGTGTTTTTATTCCAGGGCCAATAAATCCAAGTCCACCAGCGCTGGATACAGACGTTGCAAGGGCGGCACTTGCTAGCATTGCCATAGGAGCGCTTACCACTAGAGGGGAGGATACCCAAGGGTATCGGGAGAGTATAGTCTTTGAAACTGCTAGAGGTGATGCCATTTTTATAAAATTGAAGTGGTTGATTCGTGTATTGATATCGAACTGAGATGCTTGAACTCTTGGACAAAAATCTCCATGAAGAAAACTAAGAATGTTTATAAGTTTATAGAAGCAGTTGCAATACGTATTCCCGCGTCAATCGGGGGCGTTATTACTTATACACTACGACATTATGAGCTCAATCAATCCAACACAACGCTGGATAAGTCGGCCGCTTGGATAAGTCGGATCCATGGAGCGACGAGTAGACATACACTTCCAAAAAAAAAAAAAATCTCCGGCTGGATAATTCGGAAGGCTAACCCGGAAGGATGATCCGGCAAGCTCAGATTAGCGGACTGAAAGAGGATACTCCGTAGATCAATATATATCACGGAGGTAGTATTGCATCCACAAGAGAATGCTTTCAGCCAGAAAAAGAGACTTTTACAAATTGAAGTTAAAGAAGCGTGTTCGGTTATAAAGGTGTCAAATAGACCATCTCCTAGTTGGCTACCTACTGCATGTTACAATCCATTAACAAGCTCTGACTAAATGCTGTATAAGTCCTCTAACGATACTGTTTATACGCTCTCTCTTATAGAAACGCTCCGCCAATTAAGCCTTTAGTCCATAGAGATCACATCATCATATATGAGCTCTACTCTTCCAATCGGTTAACCCTAACAATCTAGAGAAGCCAGATCATTCCAGAAACGAAGCTACAATAGATCAAACACCAGAATCAGCACCATCATAGTAGCCAAAAATGGCATCTGAAGTATACGATGGCACAAAAGACCGCGAAGCAACGCCCCCAAACACCCTCCCCATGACCACCGACAAACAACCCACCGAAGACCTCGAATTCGATACCGGCATAAAAGCTTGGCTCCAAGTCCTAGGCGCCTTTTTCCTCTGGTTCAACTCCTGGTCCGTCAATCTGCCATCACTCTCCCTTCCATCCTTTTCCTACTCACTCACTCATTAACCAAACACCAAACACTAACCACCTCCTCAATCTACGAATCCAGGGACCTCATCAACACCTTCGGCGTCTTCCAGACCTTCTACGAACAATCCATCCTCTCCAACCACTCTCCCTCAGCAATCGCCTGGATCGGCTCTATCCAATCCCACCTCCTCATGTCCGTCGGCGTAATCACCGGCCCCCTCTTCGACCTGGGCTACTTCCCATTCCTCGTCCCCTTCGGCAGCTTCATGGTCGTCCTCGGCTACATGATGACCTCCCTCTCCACAAAATACTACCAAATCATGCTCGCCCAGGGCCTCTGCGTCGGCATCGGCACCGGCTGCCTCTTCGTCCCCTCCGTCGCCCTCCTCCCCCAATACTTCCGCCAAAAACGCGCCTTGGCAAACGGCATCGCCGCCACGGGAGCCAGCATCGGCGGCGTCATCTACCCCATCATCTTCTGCAAGCTCCAACAATCCGCCGGTTTCCCCTGGGCGACTCGCGCCCTCGGCTTCGTCTGCCTCGCCACATCCTCAGTCTCCATAGCATTCATGCGCGTCCGCGTCCAACCAAGCACGAAACGCGCCCTCCTCCAACTCTCCGCCTTCAAAGAACCGCAATACTCGCTATTCTGCCTCGCCATGTTCTTTGGCTTTCTAGGCTTCTACAACTTCCTCAGCTTCGTCCAACCATGGGCCTTTGATCAAGGCATCGCTTCCGAAAACCTCAGCTTCTACCTCCTCCCAATCCTCAACGCCGCTTCAACTTTTGGCCGCGTCACACCAAACTTCCTGGCCGACCACGTAGGCCCTCTCAATATGCTTGCCCCTGCAGCTGGCATCACGGCCCTGTTAGCATACTGCTGGATTGCCGTAAATTCAACAGCCGGCATCATCGTCCTGTCCATCTTTTACGGCTTCTTTTCTGGAGGCTTCGTGTCCCTTCCCCCAGTCGTCATGACAGCTTTAACCAAGGATCTCAGAGACCTGGGAACTCGCCTCGGTATGTTCTTTGCAGTCGTGTCGTTAGCATTGCTGGTTGGCACACCAATAGGCGGTGCAATCCTCACAGGCTCAAACAGCTACCTCGGCGTTCAAATATTTTGTAGTAGCTGTCTTGCAGTCTGCTTTATTATTACATGCTCCATTAGACTCTTACGCAGCGGTTTCACTCTCCGTTACCGAACATGAACGAACAAGATCCATAGTTGGACTCCATCACAGACCGATATATTAGACTGCAGAGCCTCTTCGAACAGGCACATTACATGTAGATACAATCTCTTTTTTAATAACCCTATATTTTAATCTAATGCCTATGCATACCATTATAATACTGATTCTCGACAATCTCTACGACAAAAGCTCAATGTCCACTCTTGTAATGCTTCCTATCTCCTCAACTAGGTCAATCCTCAGAGCATCAGCCTCACCCCCTTGCATGTCCCATATTTCTCCCAGCATGTGGCATCGCCTACCGTGAGAATACGGCCCTAGAACAGTTGGCTCTCGGTCCGAGTTACTTATGGGGGAGCCATCAAAGAGATTATAGTCCAACGAACTGAGTTCCGAAGGTGTGTCTGGAGGCGCAGGTCCGGCTATGACGACATCGCCATCGGGATCAGCCTGTCGAACACTCCCATCTCTATGGGCAGCAGAATTGATGATTGGCTCATTTTTCCCAGTGTTCAATGCCCAGGTCTTTGCCCACCCTTCAGCAGCAAAGGCCCAGATGATCAAGTCCGGAGACGAGTTCAATGCAATTTCTGTAAGATTCCCGCACATAGCTACTACTTGCCCATATACCTCGACTGGATAATGTGAATCTTGTCCAAAGGGGTCGCTCATCAGGTTAATGTGCCCGTAAGTTGGCTCATGCTGCCCAAATCTGCGGCTTTCAGGGGGCCTGTATCCGGCCGATCTAGCCTCAGCATCGGCCCGGCGTATATCGTGGAACACGTCCGGAGGCACTGTGTAAAACACAACAAGCTGCTGGTTGGAATCCTCCGTGGCACCCGTATCAGAAGAGAACGTGCGCTCATCCAACGGAATACCGTCATGTTGTGGCCTGGCAGCAAAAGTCGCAACAACACGAACGCCATGCCTTGTATCAGATCCAGCAACATACAATAGGGGCATAGGCGAGTACGCCTGCGAAGGAGGGCGAAACCAGACCTTGCGAAGCAATCGAGTAAGCGAGCCCACAGGAGCATCCGTCCCCAGACAAAGGCAACCCGTGCGAGGATCCGTAAACAGGATGTGATAACCGTCACTCAGCGGCACTGCCCGGAAATGATCTGCGCTGGCAGCAACAAGCCGTCGCAAAGGACTGTCTCGCGGCACATTTCGACTAAGCAGACTTTCATCATTATCAACATCAGCATCTCGACTCGGTCCTCCAGCTTCCACAGAAATGCCACGACTATGCCTCATGTACCAAGGCTCAGCGTCAAAGCAAGACACCACCGCCGTGCTCCCGGATCCTAAAAGCGAAGTACTGAAGCCGTGAATAATGCCATCAAGCAGCTCCATCGGGTTGCCCAGACCAGCAGCTGAGCTAATCAGCCTCAACTTTCGCGGCGTGTCCACTCCTCTTCGCGGTGGCAGGAAATAGAGAAAGTCGCTCGGAGACGTGAGTGGGAACCATCTGCTGAGATCCTGACCAGTCATTGCATCAACCCAGTGTAGTTCAATCCCGGCAGAGCATCCAAAGGCCACGCATTTTCTTTGAGGACAGATGGCCACCGACCGCGGAGGATCATCCGGATGACAGATATTGCGATAAACCGATCTTGGACCTTCTTCTGGCGGCATCGGAAGACTCGGCAAGTGGTCATGACATGCACATTGACTTGAAGATGCCAAAGATGCCGATGCAGAAGATACGCCCGATACGGACCCGGATCCAGATTTGATCACAGGAGGTTCAGTTGACTGAGGCGTCGACGCAAGACTCGACGTGCCCGTTCTCTCAGTCGTGATATCACACACCATGCCAACCCGACCCTCCATCAGAAATGCCACAGAATATCTCTCCGCCGAAGTATCCATACTGCACGAAATAACTCTCCTCGGACACAAAATCTTCGTCACCGGCCTCAAAAGCCCCAACGGCATCCCCTGCCTTCGACGAAACGGCAGCGCCCACAGCAACCGCTCCGGAAAGCACACATGATTCAGCTCATATATGTAGACAACTCGGCCATGAGCAGCCATCAAGAACTTCCCGCACAAGCTCACAGTAAAACTCATCACCCCCCCCCAAGTCTCCTGGAACCGATCCAGGCACTATACCGCTAAAGTCCGTACGGCCGACTTCCACAAAGGCACACTTTTGCGAGCTCAAGAGGTTACACTCTCTCGCAATCCACTTGCTCATAATGTCCTCGCGACCCAGGTTCGATGCCGGTATTGTTCTCATAGGTGCTAAGATGCTCAACATGCTGCTCCACCATCCTCCCTGCTTCAGCATGTTGGTAAGCAGTTCGCGGTCCAAGGATGCCAAATACTATGTTCGACATGCGTGTCTCGCCGTGTTAAAGTCCATAGGAGATAAATAGCTGTATATTTGCTGGAGCAGTTCGTTAGGTAGTCGCATAGAGCTAGGAATGTCTGTTTACCGCGTCAGTATCTTCATCACATAACAAGGACAAGAGAAGCATCATTCACCATCCTGGTCCTCTTCGTCCCCATATTCACCCCCATAAACCTTCTCCACATCAGTCAACTGCCCAGGAAGCGCATGAATCCTCCTGTCACCGCTCGTCACCAGCGCAACAACAGCCATCGTCTCGCCAGGCGTGCTTGAGGGTCGCTGCGAAGGCCCTCTCGATCTCGTCGACCGAGCTCCGGCCACACCCCTCGAGACAAATATTTGCGAGGACGTATTGCTAGCTTGGCCTCCAGGACAGAAGGCCTTTCGTGTTTTTATTTTATTTTTATTTTTTCTTTGATAGGAAATCTATAGTTAAAAGAGAGCTTGACGATTGTTAGGATGGTCGTTCAGAGGTAAAGTAGAGAGATATAGGTAAACAAGTGCGACATCAAACGAAGTGGGAAATGGCGATACGGTCAATGTTGACATTCTGGTTGATATAAATTAACTTCTCCTTGAGCTCTCCTTCGTCATTCATCGCTGCTCCTCCAAGTAACAATGCAAAGAAAGGCGCTATCTAAACAGTCAATGGTATCGTTCTTGCCATATGTAAAAGTGGCAAAAGCATAACATGAAATTGCAGCCACGTATTTGCGGGGGATATGTTGTGTAACAATCAGTCATCAGTCAATAACGCCGTGGTATGAGAATGGAAAACATAAAGAAAAGAGCAGGCTCCGACACCCCCATCATAGCGGCCACCGTATTCGCATACCCAAATACACTGTCTCGGGCGAATTTCGTATATCATCTTCGCTCTCGCCCTGATGTACTCAACCACACATTGTCGTCCCCGATGCCTAGAGAGCTGTCTGCGTTGGGCAGCACCAATGTTGGCTGGTCTTCAGACCCTTCTGCCGTGCCATCTTCCGACTCCTCGTCGGTCATCACGATCGGAGGCGGGTCAGTGTAGACCCACGCTTGCTGTAGACTAAATTGATCATGTTAGCTTGGAAACCACGCAAGCAGTATATAGTTTTACTTACGGCACGATGAGACTGGGGTTGGTGAATGTCATGTCTCTCTCCTTAAGTTCATCCAATGTGCTGCCTCTACGTAGCATTTCTCGTGTTCGTGAGCGGTCCGGGCTAGCATCATCAGACTCCTCTTCATCCACCACAGCCTCTTCGTTGCCAGAGCCTTCCTCGGGTCTTATGGCTCGCAGAGCAATGTATTTCATCAGGGGCATATATCGCCTCTTGAAATAATATGTATACCAAATCGAAAAGGGAATAAGAGGCATAATAGCCACCGACTGAACAAAGGCGGCAAGAGATGCAATTTCCCCAACCATGACAACCTCAAAGACGATGAGCCCTATGACAATGCGATAGCAGATAATCTGCCATGCGCCTCCAGTTGCATGCTGCGGTTGGTCCATCGCATATAAGAGCATGTGCTTGAATGTGAAATACCCAATCGAGAAATAGATCGTTCCGAAGATCAGGATGGCGAAGCCCCATCTCAAGACGCTATAGATGACGCAAAGGTTGAAAACAAGCAACGAGGTAGGCAGATAAAATCCGTACTGAAACACTGGTGGCTTCTTAAGCGCCGCATAGTCTCGCGGAGTTTGGGCCAGGAAGCGGTTGATTGGGAAGAGGAAGACACTTCCGACTTCCAACATTCGGAAAGGCATCAGGCCAATGCCTTGTAGGATGATAAAACTGATAAAGAAGACGGACAAGTCTTCCACATCAGCCGCGATAGCTCTAGGGATCTTGCTTGTATCCTTGAGAAAGTCCTGAAGTACGCTCCAAAAGTTGAATCCCGATCTCGAAACAGCAAAGACGAAGAAGGTATTGAAGAAGGTGAAGAAGAAGTTTTTGGAGATGAGCGACAACTCCACGTCTACGTGCGATATCATTCCCTGGCGATTGGATAGAAATTCGTAGAGGTAGGGAACAGCAACGTTGAGCAACGAAATCACGAGTGTGGGCAGACCGTTTCGAAATAGCGAGTGAATAACAGCATGGTCCTCGAGCCACTCGGAGAAGGAGGGCACGACCCTCTGAATGGTGCATACGCTAAGCCACGAAGCAAGAAATGCTGTTGGGAAAATCCAGACCAGCGTGAGGATCGTGATGAATAGAGTAATCGTCCACGCCTTGATTCGTCGCACTCCACGAGGTTCATACGTGTTCTTCCACACAATATCAGAGGGCGATGGCGCAGCTTTGGTCAGGAACCGCCCCGGCCGTGGGTCAATCCGAGCCTGGACGACCATTTGGCAGGACATGACAGAGTCCATGGTGACGAGGACCATGTCCGTAGTATTGTAATCCTTCTTCCGAGCCTCGATCACCTTGTCATCCATCTGTCGAAGCCTCTCCTCGTAATAGTCAATAGCGTCGACCCTGCGGCTTCGGAGTCCAAAAATTCCAGATCGTAGTGAAACCTGCGGTCGATCGCCCTCGGTGACATGAGCTTGGTCAGAGTCGTCTCCCAGGAGCCGCCAGTCTTCACCTGCCTCCTCATCTCCTTGGCTGATGTGTGAATTGTGTCGAGATGAATCTGTCTGGCCATTTCGGTGGTTGCTAGCATTCGCGGCTGAATATCGCTGCCGTTTCCGGTATTGCGCCCAAGAGACTTCAAGCTTATGAAGAATCTGGCCTCGTTCATCCACGACTTTGTCAAGCGCCTTCCAATCTCGACAAATCGATACATTTTCGACCTTGCCGATGTCCAGCTTCTCAATGAGAGCTCGGATACGCGCTTCGGTTCTAAAAGCCGCTGGAACGCCAGTGAGGCGAAACGTTCGGTCTGTAATGGTAGACTGCGATCCCAGGTAGTCTTGCCTGTACCCAATGATGCGGAACGTCTCCTTGTTGATGAAATAGATTGTCAATCCAACGAAAAAGTAGGTGAAAAGGACGTAGGCCCATAGAAACGCCCTCTCTCGACTCCTATCCTTCTCTAGCCCGTCTCCTGCCATGCCCAGATAGGTGGAACCCAGAGGCAAGCCAATGGGCTTGTAAAGGTCCATGTCGTCTTTATCGTCGGGAATCGTGTCGTCACCTCCCCACAGGGGTTGAAAGTTGCGATAGCTATAGTTGATCGGCCACAGGACGACAACAGCAAAGAAGGCCATGATGGCAAAGATGCGGGTGGCCATTTTGAAAAAGGTCAAGAACTGCCAAACCACGTTAGTTCCGCCCACGCCTCTCGGATCGAACCGCTGGTAACGTACAACAAACGCATCGAGTCCAGCCGATGCCAGAATCTGCTGTTCAGACACCTTGTAAAGCCTCGGGATCCATCCGAAGAAAGAGTCGGTCAGAGGTGGCGGGCCAAATCTCGGATCGAGGCGCCTCTTGCGCGCAGCATATAAGGTCGGCCATCGCGGGCGCAGAATCTAGAGCATCGCATGAGCAATTAGTATCTGGACCTGTAATTACTCGCGGCGGTTCACGGCACGCGATGCAAATGCGAATAGCGGCTGGAGCAAACTCACGCAGAAAGCGATAAAGGCGCCAACGCCCAGGATCAAGGACAGGACCAGCTGCACCTCAAGATCGCGCACCGTCTTGGAGGCCGGCGGGATGTAGTCCTTGCCGTCGCACTTTTCTGTCACGTTGTCCCCGAACATGATGCCTCATCTCCTCGGGTTGAAGAAAGGGGAAAAGAGAAGACAAAGAAGCGAGAAGTTGCATGTTGAAAAGTCTTGTGACGTAGCTTTAGCTTGCTGCATGATTTATGCACTACAACTGAGCTAAGATACAGCACGGTTTAGCACCTTAGGCGAACCGCTTGGTGGCAAATGCACCGCTGAGTGATTGAATGCATGACGATCACACCGCCACCACAGCCACCGATTGGGCAGAGACGTCACGAAATCTGACTGACTACGCGGCATTCAATGCTCAACCCCTTAACCTGGAGCTTGGATTCATGCAAACAATTAATGATGAATGATGAGTCGCAACAGAAAAATAAATGTAAGCATCAAGCAGCAGCTCTCAAAACACGCAGTACATTGTAAATAATCTGATGTCAACCCCCACAGGGGTCCCAATCCAAATAGGACTACTCCATATGTGACTCGGGGTCTTCATTTGACGTGGCCCAATAATTGTCAATGTTAGTCTCAAGTTAGGCTCCTATCTCCATGCCTAAACAGCAAACATCAAAACCCAACGTCCCATCTAGGCAAGTAAATGGATACAGTTCCAAATCGATATGTAAACATGTGGCATAATAGGGTCCATGTATCCGATTATCCGGACTCTTTCTGTGGGGGTTGTTGGTGAGTACATGCAAGAGTCAAGAACCGTTGCCTTGAGAACTGGATCTCGTGATCCCTTCCATGTATCCACAAACATCAATGGACATATGCTGACTGATGACCCCATATTGGCCAAGGCATGGCAACGCGCTTCTCTATCATTGGAGACTGCAATAAATAAAATCTCATCTCAACATATAACCATCTATTTTTGTTTATGCATACCGTTGTAGCTCAATGCCTCTTCAAAGACATAGTAGCGGCCACCGACTTACAAGTAGCCAATGCAATATTCACGAAGTGTCTAACTACATCCATTAAAGACTTTTCCTTGGAGTCCGAGATTATATGAATCTTTGATCCCAAAGTCCTATAATTTTACTGATGCCAACCTCGGTATAATTCTTCTCCATTGACAGCATGCGACGCAACACTTCTGGCAAAACAGCCAGCGTACCACAACCGCTTCCCACGTTGCTTCTTCACAACGTCTCATACCCGACTCCAATACTCTCTTCGTAACGTTGCTTCGACAAGACCCAACCAGCCCATCACTCGAAGCCCAAAGGCAGTGTAGGCATAGCCATCAAGA